ATTGAGTCAGAAAAACAGAACAAAATTAATTGAATCAGAAAAAAGAAAATTGGATAAAAGCAAACAAAAATAAATGTATTTATTTATTATTTAGTTTAAAGAGAAAAAAAATCTGTTCCAGATGAAGCTTTTCTGATCTCAGCTGCCTAGTCTTTCCAGAGTTTGGGGGCCTGTACTGCAAAAGCACAATGGCCTTCACAAATCAGGATCTGGGAAGACGATCAGCTGATCTAAGATGCTTGCAGGCTCATAGGGAGTCATCAATAAAATCTTAAAATCGAAAAAACAAACAGGAAGCCAGTGCAGCGCATCTAGAATCTGTGTTATGTGGTTAGGATTTCTTGATCCAGTTATAATCCTAGCAGTAGCATTAGCCATTACCATGGTATTTTACTTAGAAGCTGTGTAAACAGTTTCAACTATTTGTCACACCTCCATATGAAGTTTATCTATTGCCCTTTTACACTGCATGTTTTTATGATTTTTTTTTTGTGCTTGTAGTTCCTAGCGTACCACACACAGCTGCTGATCGGCAACAGAAAACACTCCATCAGTCCAGAGGAATACGTGTTCGCTGCTCTCTCTCTCTACGTCGACATTGTCCAGATCTTCCTCTTCCTGCTGCAGATTATTGGCGCTTCAACCAAATAAGTCCACAAGGTGCAAACAAGCATCCAGCTGCAAAACCATTCAATACTTTTTTAAACCTCTGCTTGTTCTCACTCAGAATGAGAACACATGCATGAAGTCATGTTGTACTTCAGGGAACACAAAAGGAAGAATTTGAGATTTTGTTAAAGTGTAGTTTCATCATATGCACAAAAAAATGCACTTTTTTCTGAAATCGGTATTTGTCTGTATCTGCATTAACAACTATCCAATATTAGCTATTACCAAGAATATTAATACTACAGTATAGATATCTGTTGACATTGGAAGCTGCAACATTTATTCATCCTTGCTGGACTTCAGTTAAATTGATCGTTGTCTGCACATTTTTCTCTCCATGAACATGTACTGCTGCATATAAGCTGTTATCTATTCTGTATACATTTTGAGATTTTTGATGTAATAGTCAGTCAGATATTGCCAACTTTATCGCTGTTTCTAGTAGGGGTGGGCATTATCCAAACCTCTAAACCAAGTAACCTGGCCAGGATTGTGAAATCCATACCAACTTTGAATCATTAATATATTCATATTCATTATTGACAGTAACAAATGTAGAAATGTGCCCTGATTTGTGACATGAATTTATAATTAATAGGCTGCATATAAGTATGTTTCACTTACCGTGGGATGTGACTTACCGTTTTTTTCAGATTCTCTGTAATTTAAAGGGATAGTTCAGGATGAGCGTTAGATTGTGTGATTAAAACCATCCATAAGTCTGTTCTCTAAATTAAAAGTCTGCATACAGTAGACGCTTAGCTTGGCTTAGATAAAAAGCTGTAAATAGAGGGAAACAGCTAGCCTGGCTCAGTCTGATGATTCAAAAAAAGAAAAATCAGCCTACCTGCAGCTGTAATGCTCAAAAAACAATTGTGACACATCTTAATTTAAATCTGTATAAAAACTGGAGTACAACACAACAAATATGTGTGTGGGGAGGGGGTTCAATCTTACTATACTAGGTTTCAGGAGTGCAGCACATGACCTCTAGTAAAAACAAATGGATATTTTTACACCAACATATACGTTTCCTCAGCAGCATCTGTGAAGTTTGTATAATCTATGTGTATATTAGGGTCAGAGGCTGGGAGGTGGGTTTCGTTTCTTTTGAGAGAGCCAGGCTCATTGTTTCCCTCTCTTCCAACCATCATGCTATACTTAGCATGATTTTACAGAGACAAACAATGAGCATGTTTCTCATTAAGCTATTATATACATGTTAAAAGGCAAAATTGGATGTTAAAGAAATGTTAAATGGGAACTCTGACTACTCTTAGAACAGAAGCTAAAAAAAGAAACAGTGCTGCTCTGTAAGAAATGTAAATGTTATGTTTGGTATCGATCCTACTGACTCGTAATGAAATGCAAAACTTCCTAATGATTGTATCAATACTTTGGAGCTTAACATGCCCAGCCCTGAAGTACAGCTCAGTAATGACAGCATCAATGGTCTTTAACACACTTGTTCTAATGTTATCATTAATATTCAACATCACTAGTGCCTTCACCATGACGATGTTTCAGAGGATTACATCTGTTTTACTTAAAGAAGTGCAGGGTTATATTCAATAAGCTTTTATAGTAGTTACATACTGTAAGTGCCTCTTCATGTATTAGTCAGATTTTGTTCAGACGCTTAGAGTCAGCAGGGCAGGTTTTTCCACTGGAAAGAACAATCAGTGCCATAGTGTTGAATTACTGGAACACTTATGAACGTTGGTGCGTTCCAGCTAAATTGGCACATTGTCCAATATCTTTGACATGATCCGCTCCGACCAGCGGCTCCTCCACACACACCTACACACCACTAGCTAATGTTAAATATAACGCTTGACTCTAAATCAACATGGCAAACATTTTGAGTGTGCAGCATAGACAGTATGGTTGGGTTTGTAAATATATAACATCAGTGCTAAAGAATCTGTTTGCTTTTTAATATCAAATAAAACTGTTTAGTTTGAGTTGTGATGTGGTTCATTTGCAGCTATACCAGTTAGAACTCACATTTATCTAGGAACTCATTCATAAATATAAATTTCCATTTATTTCCACTATTTTTTAACAGAACATCAGCGAGATGACAAATAAATACATTTTCAATGAAGTTGTCACACTTCACGGCATCATGAGCCATCTCTATCCTTGAATAAGGAAGACACTTTTAAGATAACAGGCTTTGTCAAACATGTCCTTTCACAGACTTCCTCCATCAACACAAGAGATATTCAGTCCTGAATGTCTCTGAGCTTTCAGGTGTTTTAAAGTTAAGCTCATACAGACGACGTCTCTGTGATCAGTCTTAGAGAGCGGTGCAGTAGCAACATTCAGGCTATGATGCAAATCCTCAGAGCCAACCGTTACCGTTACTGGTCCACGTTCACCCTCTCCGAGTGACGGTGGTAGCGACTACCTTCATATTCTCCCTCATTGGACATTCTCATCCTCTGTCGAACCTTCAGCTGCTTCAGTCGGTTCTTGTCCACCTCTCTCTTGGCTAGGATGAAGCTGATGACCCCTGTGGGGAGGCCAATCATCCTGCACAGAGGCCACAGATATTTAAGCCAGTCAGTAACACAGATCCATGAGCATACAGAACATCAAACAGTAGAAACAATTATTGAACACATATTAGACAGGTAATAAAACGGGTTTTCACTATGTCAACACAGAGCATCCACGTCATGATAAATTAAATGGATGAATGTGGAAACTCTGCCAGTGTGTCACATCTGAAGACCACTGCTTGAAATGACCTCGTGGAGTTTTGTTTTATACATGACACAATCAATAACATGAATAAACAGTAAATAACTTACAAGGCTCATTACTGACGCTGACACAAGTATAGTTGTTGTATGTGCTAACACAACAACAACATCAACAACTAGTGCAATAATTAAAACTTCATCAATGAACTGGTTTCCACTGGTGGGAGTCATTGTTGATCAGGGAGTTATAATCATCATGTGCTCTGGGGCTGTTAAGGAGAGACTCACCAGGCATATCCAATGTTCATCATGGGGTTCTTCGCCTTTCTGTTCGGGATGTCCTCCTCCTCCTCCTCCTCCTCCCTGGCTCTCCTGCCCTCTGTGGGGCTGCTCTTCTGCGGCTCCGTCCTGGAGCTGGAGCTCAGTGAGGCGGCAGGGGAGACGTGGAGGAGCCGACACCGAGCAGCCTGCGGCCGGGCACACTGGCACAACAACGCCGGGGCCTGGCCGCTGTGCGTGAGGAGCCACCGGCCGCGATCGAGGTGTAAACCTGAGGAGACATTTTATCAGAGACTTCAGGGTCACGTGATGAGTTCACTCCACGTGACGAGGAACGAGTCACCTGTGCTTTTCAAACTAATCCGAGCAAACACGACATGACGTCATTCCCACGAGCCTCCGTCCACTGACATCAGAATGTGACCTCAGTGAGACCGAGCGTAACGAGTTAGTCTTTTACCTTTCACCGTGGACCTGAGCGCTCTCACGTAACCCGCCGCCATGTTTGATGGAACTGTCGGACATGCGCAGTGTGGTCCTCTTCAAACCTCAGACTGCTGCCACCTACTGGACGTTCTGAATGCTGCACTCAGTGAACTGCAGCAAATGAAGAAAAGTCCAGGACCATGATCAGGACTGAAACTGACCAGAGGAAAAAGACACAAAGCAAGAAGTGACTCCGGAACACTCACACGAAATGATGTACTTTTTAGATTCATTAATTTATTTCCACATTTATTCACGTTATTCCAGGTATATTTCTGTATTTCTATATTTATTTATTTGTCGACCGGTGTGGGGCCAAGAAATATACAATCAATCTATTCACCTCCTGATGAATAGATTGAATATCTTTATAGATATAAAGATATACAGAATTTAAACACCCTCAAATTGACTATTGCACAAAAAATTTAATGTGGAAATGTAAAGACATATTAATACTAAATGCAGAAAGAAAGAAATACACGTAGAAGTAAAACAAATGAAGATAAATGTAAAAAATACATTGATAGCATATTTCATTAAAACTGTGTATTTTAGTATTTATTTTGGCATTTATTCTTTATTTGTTTTAACTTTGGCAGTGTCAGTCCTCCACAAAGCAGATTTGTGTTTTTAAACCACGAAGAATAAACTTAATACATTTTGGAACATCTGGAACTTCTGAAGGATAATAATAATGAAGCAGTTCATTTGAATGTAAGTGATCACTACTTAAGGCTGATATTTAAATTGTATTATTTATTTTAAGTGCAACAATGAGGGCTGCAGCATCACAATACCATTATGTACACCATTGTGCATTTGTATATTTTCTGTATATCTACATAAGTTTGAGAGAATAATTGCTGGTATATGTAATTCTTTAGTATAACTACTATTATTACAATAGCACATAGTGTTCATTATTGTGAATTCTACCTGTTAATCTATATGAGCCCTCCTATTCTGTTATAAAATTTTTCAACAACAAATGGAAAAAACTTGTTTAAGTCAACTTTTTTTTTTATTTAACCAACATTTCAATCCACATCATAATTTTACAAAAAGACAGAACATGAAACCACAGAAGTGAGCTGCAGCGCACACCCTTAATATACAGTTACAATAACAAACAGCAATTACACAATTCAGGGCAGGTCCCTGAACTCAAACAGGAGCCAGAGAACGACTGGCGGAACGAGCAGCATATTTACATAAGTCCCTCTGACAAAGACAAAGCTTTTTTTTTTTTTTTCTTTAAGAGCCCTAGAAACAAATCTTTTTACATTAGAGATATTAACTCAAAAAACAAGTCTAATAGCATCTCCAGTGCTACTATTATGTACGTGTTACATATGAGCGTTCATATTCAACACCTTGAACTGAAGTTGTGGAAGCAAAACAGTTTAATCCTCCAGGTTGTAGTTGGGGTTGACGACCAGAACACTTTCTTCCTCTGAGCTCTCAGACTCTGAGCCCTTCAGCCCGGTCTGAGACAGCTCGATCAGGATGTGATCCTGGGGAGACACATGCACATTGTCAGTTATGTCCACACACACGCTAAAAAGATCCCAGTTTGTGTGCTGGTTTAGAAAGTGATTGTGTTGTTGAACTGACGCTTGAACTCACATAGTGCACCAGTCTGTGAATGACCTTCTCGATCAAGCCCTTCCTATTGACCAGCTCCTCCTCAGAGTCGATCTCTGACTCGATCTCCTTCAGATACCAGTTCACCACTGTACTCTTCTTCAGCTCCTCCTCTTCCTCAGCTATAGATAACAGGGAAAATGTGAGATTTTAAAATACTATTCATGAAGCAGACAAAGAAGGAGACAGTAAGGAAAGGGAACAGTCCTTACCCTCCTCTGCTCTGCGCAAATGCAGGACGAGCAGGTTGGAGATGCGTCTGTACTCGGGGAAAGACAGGCGGAGAGACGGTTTGGCCTGGCTGCCCGTCTCAGCGTGGCCATTCACACCATTGGTTTGGCCATTGACACCATTAACATGGCCGTTAACACCATCCACATGACCATTCACTCCATTGGGGATGTTGTTTCCTGAAGAAACAAATTTGCATTAGATGATTTGTTTTCTTTAGATACAAAACCTAAAGCTGTATTCAGACATACACTGAACTCTAGTTTATCTCCTGAAGTTATCCAGAGAGGCCACATTGCGGACATTTTCCAGGGTTGATGCACCTGTGTGTTGGTCTCCAGGAGAGAGTGTTTACTGTGTGACTGTACCTTCCTCCTGCTGCTCCTCTTCCTCCAGCTCTTCGTCCTGCTCCAGGTTGATGTCGGGCGTCTCTACTCGGATGATGGACTTGTTCAGGAGACGGAACGCTTCCTTCACATGTTTGGGCTGCACCTGGAGAAATAAGGATAAAGGACAATGGTATGACTTAGAGTAGTTACATGAGTCAGTATTCAAACAATAATGGGCCACGTTCCTGACTTCATCAAGGACTTAACCCCTTATGTGTCTGGCCGTTCACTTAGATGAATGGTGATGTGCTGGTTATTCCCAGAATCCTGTTCAGTGATTAACAGTGACTAGGCCTTTGCAGTTAGAGCCTGAAACTGTGGATCAGTTTGAAATCAGGACGGGCATCATCCTTAATTCCTTTTAAATCTATTCTTTAAGCCTTTTTTTTTTTAATCGCAAAGCTATTATGAATGTTATTTTCTGTGTAACTTAACTTTATTGTCGTCTTGTTTTCTTTCTGTTAAGCACTTTGTAAGGAAAGTGCTATAATAATTCATTAGTACACACACAATATATATTTATATCTTTTGATTTTCTAACTAAAGCAGCTGACTTTCAGATTACCGTCACTGCAGCAGTTTCATAGCTGCTTTATGAAGTATTGTGTTACTTTGTGTGCTTCATTCTGACCTGTACCCAGTGTGTGAAACTGGGATTATTTGTACGCACCTCATCACAGCAGTGCATACGCGCCATGGACTCCGACAGGCGGATCATGCTCTCCAGCTGTCGCACCGTGATCCTCCAGGCAGACTTGGACACGCCGCCTGAGCCGTCGCGCTGACGGAGACGCTTGTACTGCTCGACGATGAACTCTTCTGATTCGCTTGAGATCTGCGGACGTACAGAAAAAGATGTAATAATAAGAACCAATAATAAAACCTGTGAGAGCAGGTAGAAACTCAAGAACACACACTCACCTTAGGTTTGAACTGCCTGGCAAAGAGAAGATATCTGCGGATCTCGTCCAGAGAGTAGAGTCTGTCCACTGATTCCTCCACACGGGAGTGCAGGTCCACGATGCGGCGGGCGATGGCGTAGTCTGTCACCTAGGATACAGTATTGAACAAGGTCAGCATTACAAACAGGACGGAAGAAATAAAAGACAGATATGGAATAAACATAATGACCAAACAGCTGAACAAATGAAGGAATCAGAGTGTATAAACAAACGCAAACTCTTGTACCTCGTTGCAGTCGTCCACCAGGATGAAGAAGAGGTCAAAGCGGCTCATGATGGGGGCGGACAGGTTGACGTTCTGTTTCAGACTCTTGCTGCGTTCATAGCGGCCACCGACGGGGTTAGCAGCAGCCAGGATGGATGTACGAGCATTGAGCGTGGCCTGGAGGAGACAGAGACGAGGTCGGGTTAGTGCACTTTGGAGATGGTTGAAAGGCCTAATGGGTAAAAGAAACATCTGGCTCACAATGGTGCAACTTGAAGAAAAAAATGTAATTAATTAATTTGTGTATTTTACAAATGCCACCTTGATGAGGTGATGCAACATTTGCTAGAACAGAGAAAAGCCTTTCATTTCTAACTGTGTTATTTCTTTATACTATAACTGAGCTGTGTGGTGACTAGATTAAGTGGCATGTTGATTTCACTCTGTTACCTTGACTCCAGCCTTTGTGATGCTGATGGTCTGCTGCTCCATGGCTTCATGAATGGCCACCTGGTCCTTCAAGTCCATCTTGTCAAACTCATCAATGCAGCACACACCCTGACAACAAGTAAAGCCATTAACACCAATAAACAGACACGTAATAAAGTCCTTCCCCACCCTCTATAACTCCCATCACTCACGTTGTCGGCCAGCATCAGTGCTCCGGCCTCGATGACAAACTCATTGGACTCTTCGTCTCGGACCACGGCGGCTGTCAGACCCGCGGCACTGCTGGCTTTGCCACTGGTGTACACTGCTCGGGGACTGAACTCCTCCACGTGCCTGTACACACACACACAGTTTGATATCACTATTACAACAAACAGCTCTCCAAACAAGACTAAATACACAACACACACTCAGGCGTGCATGTGAATGCATCTGCACACTTATTGATGTTATTGCTTTTGTCTTTATTTGGTGACACATGCTAATGTTGATTTGTGAGTTTTCTGCCCCCCCGGACTGTATATTATTATTGTACATGTATTTTCTATGTATATTAATTCAGTTTTATATTTTCTAGTTGCTAGTGCAAATTGTGACAGGAGACGGGATATTACTTACATGTGACCCACCATCAAACCAATCAAACACTACACATTCATTTGTATTTATCAGAGTGGATATACTTTTTCACATAATGGTTGCCCTGGAAACTCGTGTGTAACCTGTGCGCTTGTGCTACATACTTGAGGAACTGGCTCTTGGCTGTACTTGGGTCTCCGACGATGCAGACATTGATGTCTCCCCTCAGCGAGGTTCCCTCCATGGTCTTCTTAGGAACGCCTCCGAACAGCATCAGCAGGATGCCGCGCTTCACCTCGTCATTGCCTGTCAATCACAATTATTGTCAGTATTTAGAGGATAATTCACCGTTTTTTTAAACACCCTGAGCTGAAGTATCTCTGACGGTTCACGGCAGCTTCGAGCACTGACCGTGGATGGTGGGGAAGAGGCTGGTGCACAGGTTGTGATACAGGTTTTTGTCCTGGCTCATCTCAAACACTTTCTCCCACTCCCTCTCCGTCATCTGGCTCTTGATGCTCTCTGCAGTCTGCTCCTCCTCCCGCAGCTCCTTTCCACCAAACTACAACAAAGACAACACATTTCTAATTAAACCACTGGCATGTTTAGGGATCATTCATCTCTTTATTATCCTGACAGGTGGAACAATGACGTATGACTCACTCCTGTCAAAGGGTATGCGTTCTTTTATGGAAATACAGGCAAGTAATCTGTCTGTGTGTGCGTCTCTTACCCGTGGGTTAGTTGGAGCCACGTTGCAAGCCAGGAAGGCCAGTCTGTATGACAGCTCTCTGACTCCCAGAGCTTTCAGCCCCCTCAGACCCTCAGACTCTGAGCCCTGGGGTCCTCCAGCTACACGGGTGCTGGTCTCTGATCGCACACCTGAAGAGGAAAATCACAAGGTGTTAAAAAAACCAATTAACACAATTCTTCTAAGTGCTTTTGTCATCATTTGTAGACTCAAAGAGTGCGGTCATAATTACCAGGAGTGCTGAGCTGAGACACGTCCGGCACCACGATGAGGGTCCCTGTTAAATCACAGCGGTCTCCGGCCTGCGCGGTCTCCACAGCCTCGGCCCTCAGCACGATCTCAAGGGAGCGTGGGATGGAACCACGTGGCAGCTCCGCCTGCGTCTCCTGGATACGCACCTGAACACACAGTTCAACTCAGTCACCAACATCTAGGCCTATGCTGTCGTCTCTACACGTTTTTCTTATACACACACGTCCTGATAGATACCTTCTGGAAGTCGATGAACTTGGATTTGTGTGTGTCCAGGTGGAAGCGGGCGCGGTTGTTGCAGACGGGGTTTCTGCAGATGGTTGGCGGAGAGTATTTGAACTGCTGAGGGACGTCTTTGATCACCGCCTGGCAGTCCATGCACAGGAAGGTGCCGCTCACCTGAAACCACAGAGACGCAACACAAGCTCATCAGTGTATTTATTCATTACATTGATTCTAATTACCTCCTCCAGGGAATATATGTTTTCACCCCATTTGTTTGTTGGGTGTTTTGTCTATATTTGATTTTTAAACAAGATTACACAAAAAACTACTTGACGAATTACTACAAAACTTAGTGCAGATCAGGAGGGAGAGCCAGGACTTTTTTTCCCCAGGGAATCATTCACTGATGTTGTTGGGAAAAAAGTCTAAATATGTAGGCAACTTGTTTCAATGAGTGTGTGAAATTTGGTGGAGCTTGATTAAATTTCCAGGGACTGTTGGGACTCTAGTGAGTGTAGTGCCATGTGTCTTACCAGTTCAGGGTGTACCGGGTGTGTCCTCACCACCTGACCACTGATCCTCACCAGGGTGCCGATACGCATGGACGACAGCTCACGGATTCTAGATCACACAGTTAACAGATAACCTTTAGATTAACTAGAATAAGAGTGTGCACATATTTAACATGAGTATATATCACAACTAAGAAAAGGGAGATGAACTGAAAACACTGTGCACTACGATTTAGACCGAACCAAGCAGCAGCTTGTTCGGTGTCTTACTTGTGTCTGGTGGGAAGATCCTCGATGGCAACGTAGAACTCTTTGTTGAGAGGAACATTCCCATGATCCCGAGCAAAGTTGCGCACTGCACGACACAGGAAGGGATAAACTCTGGAGGCGGAGAAAGATCCATATTATTGCACAGGTGTAATCAAAACATTTGTTCAATTGAATTCTAACAATTTCATCAATTTGCAACAACTTGTACAAAAAAAACTGATGATACAAAATACAAGGGACCTGGTTTATCCTCAGTTCATATCAAATTTAAGACGGTGTAGTAATAGCAGTCAGATATTTGAATGGTGTCCATCGTGCATGATGCTCTTCTTGACTGTAGAACTATAAAATGTATCCCAGCTTTACTACTGGGACTAGATTCCAGTTTGTCACACATCAAGGCTGCAGGGGACACGTTGTGTCCACACTCGGGGGTCTGACCTGTAGTACTCCTCCTGGATGGTGGTGGCCAGCTCCTGGTTGAAACCCTCCAGGTCTGTGAAGCTGACCAGCAGCGTGTTCCTCTCGGGCCTGATCAGCTCCTCGGCCTCACGCACATACTTCACCTCCCCGTCCCCGCTCTGAAACCTGCACAGGACAAACAATGAAATCTAACACACACACAGAGAGCACCTGATCCTCACAGCTACTGACACAGGATATAGAACTGATGTGTATCCGTGCGATCAGCTCGCGTGCAGCGTGTTGCGACTGTGCAACAGCACAAAGACGAACTTACTCCTCTAAGAAAGCCTGGAATAACTTCTGACATTTCTCTGCCAACTCGTCTTTCACCATCTCCCCGGCATTCTCCGCGGTTGCTGTGGCAACGTCCATGTTGAAATCCCGTGAAAGTGTGAGAAAAGATTCAGAAACTGACGATGAGCCTCAGACACGCTCAGCTTCTCTCCGGAAACAGACACGCGATCACCTCCTCACAACAGAGACCTCACTTTCGCGCGAAAAGGAGACCACGTGACGTTTGGCGCGCCGCTGCCGACCAATCGGTGTCGCTCTGCAAATGTCCCGGGGCTCGCAGCCAATCAAAGGGTGGAGATGTAGAATGACGTACAGTCTCTCTCCTCTTTTCCCGCGGCACACTTCCTGCTTCAAACTTCAATAAAGTTTAGTGAAAAAAACAGTGACATCATCACATCTGTCTTCACACGGTGAACCTGCTGCTGTCCAAACATTTAGAAACTGAGTGATGTAACTGGTGTTGATATTTATAATATCTGTGATCACCAACAATGAGTTTAAAGTATAAATGTTTAGAAATCACAGGATGTAGTTTATGTAGTTTCTCACTGTGGCCGCTAGAGGGCAGTTAACACCCACGACACAATGCATTAATTTCAACTGCTAAACCCACGTCCAGTGGAGTTACTACTACAACTATAACTAGTTCTAGTACTACTACTTCTACTACTAATTATAATAATTATAATAACCAATTTGGAATAACGATGTTACAGATGAGAATGGAAAAGTAAAACATTATAAAATGATTGAAACAGTTACAAAGATCAGAGTTAGGTTTCAAGTAAATAAACAAATAAAGTTGAAGGTGAACTCAGACCTCAAGTCATAAAGACAAAGTTCTATAGGTTTTCTTTTCTTAAGAGAGATTTAAAAGAGGATGAGGAGTTCTCAGTGGAATGGTCAGCAGGGCCTTCACAGAGGACCTCAGGTTACCGTCTGCACGTATGGTGGGAAAAGATCGGAAATGTACTTTAGAGAGCGTTTTATGTCCGGGATACAATCATTGAGAATATGAGCTTGATCAGATTCAGCAAGATAATAACTCAGTTAAGATAATACATATATTTGTGGTCCAGGGACAAATGTTATTCCACAACATTGAGCAGAGTTGGTGAGTTGAGCTGTGAACACATCCTCTTCCTGTAATACTATCATAGTGGTTGTCAATCTAAACATCCATAGATACATTCTTATATGGCTCCTGCAGCATCATCACCTTTTCAACACACTCAGCAGTCTGTAAAGATGCTGGGGCTTGGAGCTTAAAACCGTGTGTATGTTTTACATGTGTGATCAGAGTGTTTGAAACACACTGACTGTACAGAAGTGGACTATTCTGCCAGACAGATTTGAGACATGAACTCTCACCTATTTACACCAACCTTTTGATATTAAAAATCAATTATTTTAATGCAGTATCGCTTTACGAGATAAGTTCTATAATTTCAGTAGGAGTGTGTCCTGGATCCAAAAAAAAAAAAAACCTGCAATCCCAAATGTTCTTCGATCTTTTGTCAGTCTCGTGTCTCATCACACACTGGGATGTTGTCTGAGACAAAAGCATCCCTTAATATGTGGTGTAGTGACTTTGAATGACCACTAGGGGAGGCTGCAATCAGAGAGGAAAATGAGCACCACGGTTATATACTGATCATACCAGGACCATACGTCACAGTTCAAATAACTTTACCAATATAGAAAAGACACTGGCCAGTTGAGGAAAGTGGCACAATCATTTATACATGATATATAAATACAAACAGATAGAACATTTAGATAGTTTTGTTTGAATCAACGTATTTGTCAACTCCTGTGAAAGAGCCAGATCTGGTGTGTAAAAACAAATAATAATTATAATTGACAATGTAACATAACAGTTGTCAATATGTTCAGTGATAAAATATTAACAATTAGTTGAATATACATGTGTTACACACTGTATTAAAACATTGACTGCAGAAATATAAAATGTATCTCAGCTTTATTACTGGGCCTAGATTACAATTTGTCACACAACCAGGCTGCAGGGGACAAGTTGTTGCCACACTCGGGGGTCCGACTTGTAGTACTCCGCCTCATGTTTTCTTTCCCTGCAACAACTAAGAAAACAGATAAAAAACAAAACATTACAGCTGAGAGAGAAATCTAGTATGTGGAGCGAAGTAAGTATTTTTTGTGAAAGGGACGTTTTCAAGGTTCAGAAATCTTTAAACTCATTTAACCTGAATGAGCTTTATATTACTAAGTTAGTTGATAGAAATTCTCACTGTTTAGGAGCAGTAGGCTGTTGGCTCCTCAGCTTCCAAGGCCTTGCTCATGAGCAATGGTGGGAGGACAGGAGACTTCTTCTCCTGAAGGACAGTCATGCAGAACAGTGAATGGGCCTCCCAGGACCATCTGTCAGACCAAACACAGATTCACTGTTATCCCATGCATTTCTATTTCTGTTCCCACATCATTCTCACGTCTCCACCTGCTGAGGTTTGAGACAAACACTCTGGGCAAGCTATTGGTTTCACCTGTCACACTGAATGAATCCACCAGGAACAGAGCAGGAAGTTATCCTGGGCCATTTGGACACAGACCAGTCTTTCTCTCCCTCTTTATTTCTCCTTTTGTCTTGACCTCTGGTTTTCCCACGATTGTTCAGCGGCAGGAAGCTCAGCTCTTCTGAGTGTGAGGAGGGAACCTGACCATCTGTAGGTAAACACACACACACACGCACACGCACAAGCACTATCACTAACACATACACACTCATTTGAGCTTCAGTGCCATTGGGGTTAGAGAAGATTCATTATTTTTCTTCACAGTATAAAGAGGTGTAAGTGTATCTAAATAATATTCATATATTTACTGTACTATTACTGCTGCTACTACTCATGATACATATCTGCATATACACATACAGCAGGTATAGATCAAACCGAGTCTGTAGTAACACCCTGTAATCGTGCAGCAGGCACCAAAGTGGCTCAGTGCAGAGAGATGAAAAGTTTGAGAGTGTCAGGTTTTTGGTAACAGGTGAAAAACAAGACGATGAGAGCAAACAGTTGTGAGAGCAACAGGACATGAAAGAGAAGAGGGGAGAGATGGTTGAGTAGTTTCCTGGATTATATGTATACAAACCGCGACATGTTTTCATTGTTTTTGTGGTTTGCTCACGCACACACGACCTGAAATGAAGCTGCGGCTGAGGAGTAAGTGACTGACAGAAATCAGCAAGAAGTAAAAACAGGGTAAAACAGACCTGGGAGCATCACCTGCAGGACAAAGTGTTTGCTGATGCCTGTGGGTCATTGATTTTAGACAGTCTTCACTGCAAAGTATTGAATATTGAACATGGAACCTAAGTTTTTCTTCACCACAATTATTTTACCATAAACAAAAGTTTACACACGGTCTAATACAGTTTGTGTAATTTCTCCCAAAATACACCTGAAAGGTAGCGCTTAAACCTCATCAAATTAAGTTTAATTATGGATGACATTTGCTATTTAGCACTTAAAGGTCCAGTGTGTAAGATTTAGGTGAAAGGATCTATTGGCAGAGTTTTAATGTAGAATAATCCTCATGATGTTTCGACTTGTTCGTTTCATCTAAATTGTATGAACTGTAGTTTTCTTACCCCAGAAAAGCCCCTTTATATTTAAATACTTTATATTTACATCGAGGGGACCCTCTCTACAGAGGCCACCATGTTTTTACATTAGTCCAGACTGGACAAAATAAACACCTTTGGAGTTTTTATGACAACTGAAGACTACCACAGATTCTTTTTCATTTTTGGAAGGAGAGGATGAGGTGAGGGGTGTTCAGCTGCAACATGCAATTTCAACACTAGATATCACAAAATTCTACACACTGCACCTTTAACACAAAGTACAGCTGATGGCAATGTCATTAGTTTTGCATGTTTCAACCATTATTTTATACTAATTGAAAAGTGGATCCAAAGGCACAAAAGGAAAAATGAATTGATCACTGACCTTTAGAGAAAATGTGCCTTTCTGCTTTGCTTGCCAGGTATTTGGTAAAAAATCTTAGAACGGAGGTATTTGTGAACGGTGGGGTCAAGAATTGAAGAAAGGCACTGAGCATGTTTCAGAACCATGAAGCCACCCAGTCACAGAATGACAGCTAGTTTGCTGGAACAGCTACAAAGACAGTCTGTCCCACCACGATGTTGTACAGCAGATAGAGACAGACAGTTCTACTGAGATCAGCGAGAGAAGGGAGTACGCACATGTCACATTTCTCAAAGAGGCTGGGCACCTCTAAGTCTGATCCTACAATCGGGAGTCACATATAATTCTGTCAAATAGTTGTGGGCGTATTTCACTCTGGATCAAAGTTGTTCACCGACCTGCCAACAGACAAATAAAGCAGAAAAAGTCATTTGGTCAGGTCTTTTCGAGCCTTTATATATTTTCAGTTCTAGTCTTATGTTCTAGTAAGAACAACACAAAGCCTGTAGGTTTTGCGCAAACATATCTTATTAAGAGTCAGGTAAAAATAATATCTCTAGTGTTTGTATTCTCCATAAAAATGAAGGACGTGGAGATTTGAATGATGTACTGATTTACTGTATGTTTACACATCTCCATTGTACCTGGTTACAGATTACACTGGATAAGTGTTGAGTGGCCTTCGATGTCTCCTTTGAGTTGTTGGAGTGATTTACTTTGTCGCAGCTCTCTGTGTGGAGCTGCTCGGCTGTTTGATTGTTTTAGTTGCTTGTTTTTCCTAAAATGAGCTGCAGGAAGTCTTTCCTGTTTTGAATACACTATGAATAGACAAGAAGAATTGTGTGTGTGCATGTGTGTGCATGTGTGTGCCTGTGTGTATGAATGTGTGAAGAAAAGAGAAAGAACAGGTTCCAGGTGTGCTTTTTCTTTTACATTTTCTTTCAATATTCCTACACATGCAGCCACATGAGTGACCCTGATGACTCAGTTAGTCACAGTGTAACAGTCATACCCTTCATTGTGGTTGTGAGTTACTGTATTCTTCCTTTACTTCTCTCTCACAACTCTCCTCTTCATCCTCCTCCTCTCAGCCACAGGAAAGGGGACACAGTAAACTTCCAGCTTCTGTTTCTCTCACTTCCATGTGGAAGTAGGTATGTGGGAAGCACTTTGTGTGTGTTCATGTGTGTATGTTTGTGTGTGTTTGTGTTTGCGTGCATGTGTGTATCAGTGTGTATGCATAAAAGCACTGGAAAATGGACCTCCTGACCCCCTCATG